CGGGCCGAGGGGGCCGAGGGAGGGCCGGCCGCGGCCGCCCGTGCGGGGAAAGAGGGGCCGAGGCAGCGGAAGGACATGGTGCTTCTCCCCAGAACGGGGTGGGGATGAGGGGATGCGGAGAAGGTGTGCGGGGTTGTGCCCGAGACCTCTGCTCAGTTGCAGGTGCAGCCCAGGGCAAGAGGGGCCGGCCGGGGTTGCCCAGCCGCCCGGAGGGAGCCCTGCAGAGCAGCATCTCCCGCAGCCCCCGAGAGGAGGGGGCTCGGCGCGTAGGCGGAGGTGGTTACTGGTGTTCCCAGAGCAAGGGTGAGTAGCCAGGAGGAGCGGGGTGGCTGCCGTGTCGGTGCGTGGTGCTGCCAGTCGGCCATGCGGCAGGAAGGCCCAGCCCGGCCGAGCTGAAGGGGGAGCGGGGCAGGAGCGGCACGGCGGGCACAGGTGGGTGCGGAGCCCCCGGAGCGGCCCGGGCACCGCGGGGGGAGCCGAGCCCCGTGCCAGGCATCGCCCCGCGGGGCCAAGGGCAGGGCTCTGAGCAGGCGGCTCGGGCCGGGGTGGGAGCTGTGCAGGAGAACCTGCCCGGGCCTCCCCAGCCGGGGGGGGGGGGGGCCGGCCAGGGGGGGGCCGCAGCTCGATTCTTCTTAGGGCCTCTAGCACAGTGGAATAGCAAAAGGGAAACAAAAAAATCGACAAAAAGCAGGGCAGCGGCCGACTCGGTGCTGCGAGGAGGGGGCAAAGGAACTATTTTGCAGGCATCTTGCTGCTGCGGAAATGGCTTTCTGGAGGGGAGGGAGGCGCGCGTGTGTGTGTGTGGGTCCCGTGTCTCAAGCAATGCTGCTCAAGAGCATCGGAAAATTGAAAATGCCACTCGGGCGGCCCCAGCCGCAGCGAGCAGTGGGGAGGGCGGCCGGGACAAGCCCCCCTCGGCCGTGTGGGGCACGAGGGGGCAGATGTGACGCGGGGTTAAGCGAGCTTTGGTCTCCCAGCAGGCTGTGGCCGAGCCTGCCCCGGTGCTGCGAGGCAGAATCCTGTGAGGATTTTTATTGCGGTCTCTTTGTTAGCTCCAGACAGGCACGCACACACACACACTCACACACTCACACACACACTCACTCCCAGCTCTCAGCCAGGTTGTGGGAGGTAAGTGGGGGAGGCGAGGAAGGGAGAGCGTGCGGGGGGCTCTGGGGAGCAGGGGCTGCGTGGGCCGGGCCGGAGGGGAACCGGGGGCTCCACACCACACACCCCCCACCTAAGAGAAAAAATAATAATAATAATAATAATAACCCAACCCCTGCGATTTTCAGGGGGGACTTGTTGGCAACTCGGCGAGGGTTGCCATAGCTTTTTATGTAGGGTGACCAGAACCGGCTGGAACTGGTTTGAGGCGGATCAGCTCCTGAACACAATGCAGTCACTGAGCTACTACACTGGGAGAGCTTCCTCCCTTCATGGCAGCCAAAAGCAGAGGAGCTTGCCGAAAAAGATACCGGCCCCAAACAGTCTGTGAATGCACACTTTGTAGACACACAGCACTGGTACGTGGCGAACGTAGTCCTAAAAGGGTTCTGGATGTAAATGTACAGATATTTGCAGCGAACTGAGATGGCTCGGGCTTTTTTTTTTTTTATTTCTTTTTTTTTTATATATATGCTTAAGGAACGGGGCAGAGAGAGCTGAGATTTACGACCCTGCCTCCAATCTTTTCGCTTGGCAAGGGTGGGGACACCGGTTCCGCAAGCCTGGTTGGAAACCCAAAAATATTTGATATGGAATGATTTGTAATTGTAGCTGTGCTTTGTGACTGAGGGGTGCTGCTTTGCATGCGGTTTTATTTACAAGGGGTGCTGTTCTTGCGGTTTGCTTCTTTAGGGGATGTTAAGCTCCGGGGGGGTGTGGGGGGGGGGGGGGGTTGCCGTGCCTTTTCGGTGAGGCCAAAAGGAACCAGGATTTGTTGGAGAATTGTGCCTAAAAAAGCATCTCAAAGGGATGCTGGAAGGCATAGTGGTTTTCCCTTCTTTTTTTTCTTTTTTTTCCCTTTTCTTTTTTTTTTATTTTCCCCTTGCAGGCCTATCGATCGGGGCCCGCCTTTAACCCTTTGGTGTGTTTGCAGAGCTAACCGAGCATCAGCTTGTAACAAACTAATCTGGCAAAGGTCAAGGTTCACGAGGTGAGACGGGGTGTGCTTTGGGTGCCCCCGACGGGTGCGAGGAGAGGTAAATCCGGCTCCTGCACCCTCGGGCACACGAGGGAAGGAGACAATTGTTGGGAGAGCCCTCCTGGAGAAATCCTCCCGTTTTAATGGGATTAAAGCTCTTCTCTTGAAAGACTTACTGATATCTTGGCTAACCACCCTTGTTTTCATGGCCGTCTCTCCAGATAGAGGGGTGTTTACGGAACAGGCCTCGTAAATTGTGGGCCACTTGTGAGCAGTTCTGGGCTCGCAAGGCAGGGTCTGCTGGCTGCTTATTTACAGGTTGTTGTTCGGCCACACCCGAGCCACCCAGAGTTTGGGTTTGAGTTAAAATCTCCGGGCTTAATGTCTCCCCAACAGGTTAAAAATTAAAACCAAAGGCAGCCAAAACAAATAGCGGGGATGGCTTTTCTCCGACTGCTGTAACCTCAGGGAGGGTTTTGCAGCGGCCCAGTGGGAAGATGTATTTTTTTGGGGGGGGGGGCTGGATGTGGAGCTCCAGCCACGAATGACAACCTGGTGCAGCGATGAAATCAGAGCAGGAAAGCGGATGGGCAGCTCCTGAGGGGTGGCTGCTTTTTAACTCAGGGCAGTGGATAATTGACAGGGGGTTGGTCGTTTCATTTTTTTTTCCCCTCACCTAAAAAAATTAAACATGCGCTTAGGTTTGGGCTGGAATTCTTATCTCACAGTGAAAGCTGAAGGATTCAGAGAGGCAGAGGAGAGAGAGAGAAGGAAGCAGTCATGAAGGGAAGAACAAAGGCTGGGAGAGCCTGCACAGTGCATCACTCAACGTTTCGCCTTGGGGATTCTCTGCTAGAACTGTTCCTTCCTACAGCAGGAAATCAGCAGCTCTAGAATCATAAGCCAGGGGGATTTTTGATAAAAAAAATAAATAAATAAATTTCCCCAATCCTAGCTGGGTAGATGGTTTGGTACCTACAAGATGAGATGGGGGTAGATGATGCGGTGTGAAATGAGCGTCCTCTCCTCTCTGGGCTCAGCAGGGAGAGAGCCCTGTAAGCCTGGCGAGGTTGTGGATGTTGGGTAAGCTGTGAGCAGGGTGCCTGCCCCCCCAGTGACAATGCCAGGCCACCTTTGTCCTTCCTGCCTGCAGCACCTTACGTAAGGGACTGCTAATTGTAGGGATTGAAGTGGCAATCAGCAAGCAGTGGGATGCAGAGGGGCTGCGTTTGACTCTGCATCTCTGGGTGTTCTTTTGCATTTACTCAGCTAGTTACACCACAGCACCTTTTAGGGGGGTTTTTAATTTCTAATAAGTAAGCAGCTTGACAATTGTTCAGCTCTGGAATCGAGGCAGAATTCTGTCTGTCTGGTTGGGGGTTTGAACGCTCTGTGCACTGCAGATTTTTTTATTCTGAGCCAAGGAGGGGTTGAATTTACAGAGATTTCTGTAGGCTGTGAGATGAGAGGCTGGAGCCTCTGGTGTTTTTCCCACCTGTAAATGCTCTTCCCCATTAGGAGATGGGGGGGTTTTGCAGGAAACGCTTCCCAGAGATGTTTTGGCGCGGCCTTATCGACGCCGCGGGTGGTAAACGAGGCCTCAGTGCTGAGAACTCCGGGTTTCTCGGGAGGAGAATCCCTGTGCCTGTTAGGAAAGGAATTCCTGGGATTTCTGGAAGCAAGTGCTGTGTGCCCTTGAAGATTAAAGCTGGGGGGGTTGTTCCTGTTTCCTGTTTGAAGGCAGAGGGTTGGAATTGAATCAGGCAGAAAGGACAATTGTATCAGGTGGTTGGGTTTGTGGTTCTGCAGCTTGGGAAGAGCTGGACGAATGGCAGGGAAAGAGCCAAAGAGGAAAAGTTCTTCCAAGGTCAAAGATTAAATAAAAGAATCGAAAGCTGTGCTTGGACCTGACAAAAATGAGGGGTTTGAGGGGGCTGGAGCTGCCCCAGATTGGACTGGTTTTTTTATCAAAATCCCTGATTTCCCTGTGGAACCAGGAGCTTCATTCCCTGTTCTGAAGTACTTGCAGGCATCCTGAAGGCACAGACTCAACAGCTTGTGCGACAGCCACGGTGTCAGTTGATTTGGGGTGTCAGTTGGAGAAAAAAAGGCAGAGTTGTCTCCTTAAAAGAAGGAGTTCCTTGAAAGGTTTTTGGGGAGTTTTTGGCACGTTTTTGCAGGAGTAACTGCGTCGAGGCTTTGTGTGGATTTCCAGGGGAATCTTTTCCATTTCATTCTTAGAGCAACTTGCTTTGTAATTTTGATATTTTATAGGTGTTTATTTTTGTAGTTAGGACTTAATTAGTCCGACAGAACCACTCAACTATTCAGTGAACCCTGTCAACAAATTCCGAACCCCTTCTGCGTTTCTTTGAAGGTGTTGCCCGACCTGTCCGTGTGAATCCTTGAACAATTTCCCTCATCTGCCTTCCTAAAGTCCGTGATGCCTTCCAGGCAGGCAGCGCTGATGAGCTGATGAATACCTGAGTGTTACAGATTGTTACCGTCTTCAGGGAAGGCTCCTCAGGTTGAGAGTTAAGGAAAATCAAGGCAGGAGAAGCTGCAAGTTGCCTGACTTTTATCTTCCTGAACATCCAGCCAGGTATCTTGCTGTTGGCCAGGATAGGAGGGAGTTTAGGAGAGGGGGGCAGGAAGAGAGTCCTTGAAATTTGGGCCATGTGTCGATGAGCTGATGAATTACCAGAGCTCCTGATCAGTAATTCAGCTGTACGTTGGACGGCTCCGTAACGTCTCTGATTCCTGAAAATGTTCCTCCGGAAGCACCGCTTGTCCTGTCCGAAAGTAACGCCCGTCTGCTCCTCTTACAGGTTGGCTTCCCCCCAAACCCGTCACCATGGGGGACATGAAGACCCCCGACTTCGACGACCTGCTGGCGGCCTTCGACATCCCCGACATGGTGGACCCCAAGGCGGCCATCGAGTCGGGGCACGACGAGCACGAGGGCCACGTCAAGGCCGCCGCCCACGCCGAGGACGACGGCCACGCCCCCTCCTCCTCCGACGTGGGGGTGAGCGTCATCGTCAAGAACGTGCGCACCATCGACCAGGCCGAGGGCGCCGCCGACAAGGACGGCCACCACGCGGCGGGCAACGGCCTGCACAACGGCTTCCTGAGCTCGGCGGCGCTCGAGGGCTACGGCAAAGACGAGGGGAAGGCGCTGAAAGGCGACGGCTCGGCCGCCGAGACGCCGCTGAAGGACTCGGCGTTCAACCAGTTCAGCCCCATCTCCAGCGCCGAGGAGTTCGACGACGACGAGAGGATCGAGGTGGACGACCCCCCGGACAAAGAGGAGGCGCGGGGAAGTTTCAGGGCCAACGTCCTGGCTCCGCAGGAATACGACAAACTGAAGGCGCTGGGGGGGGAGAACCTGATTAAATCTGGAATTCCTCTCTCCAACAGTCTGGAGAAAAACAAAGCGGCGAAACGGGAGGCGGAGACGAACTCCGTGAATTTGAGCGTCTTCGAGCCTTTTAAAGCCCGAAAAGCAGAGGACAAATTGCTGAAAGACAGCTCCGACAAGCTCCTGGAAAACAGAGCGCCGGATGGGAAACCCAGTACCGAGAAGAGCGACGCGAATCTCGCCAGCGTTTCCCAGGCCAAAGCGAAATCATCGGCAAAGCTCTCCTCCTGCATCGCCGCCATCGCGGCGCTGAGCGCTAAGAAGGCGGCTACTGACGGCGCTAAAGACTTACAGGCCAACTCAGGGGAGGCTTCTCCCTTACCGAAAGACACGAGCGAGAGTCCCCGGGCCGTCGATAAGTCACCCGAGTCTCAGAGCCTCATCGACGGCGCCAAGAAGCCGCCCGTCAAAGCCCCCGACAGTCCCAGGAGCGTGTCGAGCGAGAACAGCAGCAAAGGGTCGCCGTCTTCCCCCGCGGGCTCCACGCCGGCCATTCCCAAGGTTCGCATCAAAACCATCAAGACGTCCTCGGGGGAGATCAAGAGAACTGTGACCAGGGTGTTGCCGGAAGTCGAGCTGGACTCTGGGAGAAAGCCCGAGCAGAGCTCGCCCGCGGTGACGTCGGTGACGTCTCTGCTGTCCTCGCCGCCGTCCGCTGCCGTGCTGTCCTCTCCTCCCAGAGCCCCCCCGCAGTCCTCGGCGGTCGCCAGCGCGGTCGGCTCTCCGGAACTGGCCCCCAAGCAGGTCACCATCAAACCCGTGGCCACGGCCTTCCTGCCCGTGTCGGCGGTGAAGACGGCGGGCTCGCAGGTGATCAACCTGAAGCTGGCCAACAACACCACGGTGAAAGCCACCGTCATCTCGGCCGCCTCGGTGCAGAGCGCCAGCAGCGCCATCATCAAAGCCGCCAACGCCATCCAGCAGCAGACGGTGGTGGTGCCCGCCTCCAGCCTGGCCGGCGCCAAACTCGTGCCCAAGACGGTGCACCTGGCCAACCTGAACCTCCTGCCGCAGGGCGCCCAGGCCGCCTCCGAGCTGCGCCAGGTGCTCGCCAAACCCCAGCAGCAGATCAAGCAGGCCATCATCTCCGCCGCCGCCGCCGCCTCCTCGCAGCCCTCCAAGAAAGTGTCGCGGGTGCAGGTGGTGTCGTCGCTGCAGAGCTCCGTGGTGGAGGCCTTCAACAAGGTGCTGAGCAGCGTCAACCCCGTGCCCGTCTACGTGCCCAACCTCAGCCCCCCCGCCAGCGCCGGCATCACGCTGCCCACGCGGGGCTACAAGTGCCTGGAGTGCGGCGACTCCTTCGCCCTGGAGAAGAGCCTGAGCCAGCACTACGAGCGGCGCAGCGTGCGCATCGAGGTCACCTGCAACCACTGCACCAAGAACCTGGTGTTCTACAACAAGTGCAGCCTGCTGTCGCACGCCCGCGGCCACAAGGAGAAGGGCGTGGTGATGCAGTGCTCCCACCTGATCCTCAAACCCGTGCCGGCCGATCAGATGATCGCCGCTCCTCCCGGCGCCGCCGCCGCGCCGCAGAGCCCAGCGGGATCCCTGGCCAAGGCGCAGCCCGGCTCGGCAGGCGCGGTGATCTCCGCCCCGGCGAGCTCTCCCGTCGTTCCGGCCATGCCGCTGGACGAAGATCCCTCCAGACTCTGTAGGCACAGCCTGAAGTGCTTGGAGTGCAACGAGGTTTTCCAGGAGGAGACGTCTCTCGCCACTCACTTCCAGCAGGCGGCTGACGCCAGCGGACAAGTAGAGTATCCCATGTTTACCTTCCCGTGTTTCGCCTCTAAGCCCGGCACGACTTCGGAGATGGTTTTGCTTCCGTTTTTGAGCCGTTCGCTGCTCAAACCTCCCCGATTAAAATGATAAACACACAAAAAAAAAGCCTTAATCAGACTCCTCTTAGAATCTTTGTAGGCCCCGCAGTCCGGTGTCGACGCCGCGCTGGGGGTAGAATTCGGCTTTAGCTTTTTCTGACAGCCCAACAGCTTAATCCTGAAAGTCTCCTAGTAGGTTTTACTAATCGTACTTTAACCTGTTCTCTCTGTGCTTTGGAATTCGAGTAGCCCGTGGAATCCACTTAATTGGCACCCTCGTTAACAGCCCGTCCGTTCAACCCCCACCGGTTTGGGTTGCGCTCGATTGGTCCTCAGAGTTTGAGAGTTCTCATCTAGCATTCCCCTCCCCTGCAGGGACTCAGGCCAGTGACAAACAGCACACTGACTGCTGCCAGCGATGCTGACAGGAATTCCCCCCAAAAACCGCTCCCTGCCACCAGTCCTTGCTGCGGTTTGGCTGGTTTTTGGGGTTCCCCTTCCCCTCTCCCGAGCGCTGCCGAGTTCCCCTTCCAGCCCATTTTCCAAATTGGTGCCTGATGTTCCCGAAAGAAGCGTCAATAAAACTTCCTCTCCCCTCAGTGTGCGCTGTATTTTATAAATCCTGCAGGAGCCAGGGGTGGTTCATTAAGCCAGACGGTCGGAGCGTGCCAATTAAAAGGGATTCTGGGGTGGGTTGCAAAGCCTGCGGCCGAGCTCGCCGACGCAGCTCTGGGCCCAGCTGACAACCTGCACGAGCGCTCAGGGAACGTTCCCGGGAACGCAGAGGGCAGAATCCTGCAGATAGTTCCGAAACGCAGCCAGTCAGAGGAGCTGATGGGGATCTATGCCACGGAGCAGCTCGCCAGGGAGTCACGGAAAGGGATTTGGAGTGGGGGGGGTTCTGGTGGCACTGCCCCAGCTCCTCCTTTCCTAACAGGGCAGCAGAACCTGCCTTCCCACTGGAAATGCCATCCCAGGGACCTCTTCCCCCTCTGGAACGCTCCAGGTTTGTGGGTTCCATCCGTAGATCTATTTAGATTTCGACCTGCCTGCTTTGCTGGTGGCAGATGGATTCTGCAGGTAGGGAGCGTCCCATCTACAAAAAACCCCCTGTTGTTCTTGGAAGTGAAAAGGACCCTGAGATAAAGCGAGGGGATAAGAGGCAGGAGAGGTTGGGAGGACGAGGCTGAAGTTGAAAACAAAAAGAAGAACGAAGATAAAGTGATGATGTGCTCAGTTTTTTTTTTTGGGGGGGGGGCCCTTGTCTTTATGGACAGGTAAATGAATTTTTTGGTTTTTTTGCCCTTCCCTTTCTCCCTCTGCCGAGTTTGCTGTCGAGGAATAAAATCCCCTTTGCTGCTTTTTCATCAGCAGAGGTGAATGAAATCTTCAGATTGAATCGCCTTCCTAGCGCTTGGCTGTCGAATCGCCGCTCTTTTGGGGGAGGGTAAAAATCAGATGAAATTTGAATTTTGGAAAGGAGGTTTTCCCTCTCGTCTATCTTTATTTTTCCACCTCCACCGGGTTTTTTTTTCCTTCTAACCCTTTTTTTTTTTTTTCCTGAAACTTTTGACTTTTGAAACGCAGGCAGGTGATGATGATGATGATGATGGTGGTGATGATTTTCACAAACAAACTTGTTTTATTTTGGTGTGGGGTTTGGAATGAGAGAGAGAGAGAGCTGGAGTTAAAAGGCCACCCTAAGCCCCAAGTAACATGGTAAGCAAATGTCAGAATGTCACGGTAGATGCTTTTTTTGGTTCTGCTGGACTCAGTTGCGATGAAAGGTTTTCCGTGCTGATTGAGCAGAGCAGGGGCCTTCACCCAAGAGCGTTTTGGCTCAGAACGTTAATACAGAAATTCCAACCCGCCAGGCCATCGCGCTCACGGAGCGCCCGTTGGTAAATAATTTACAGCGCGGCTCCGGAGCTCCTGTCCTGCTCTGGGGCGTCCTTGCAGAGAGCACGCACATCAGCACATCTGCCAGCCCCTCCCAGAGAGCATTCCTAGAAAACACCCGTGGCAGGACAGGCTTGGAGTTGAATTCCGGGTGGGATTCCCGAATCCCCAGAAACGTCGGGAAGGATTCGATCCGCGGGGGTCATTTTGGGAGCGCATCTCCCCGGGGGGGGTCAGGGGTGAATTGGAGGGGCCTGTGTGACGTCAGGACACCCCCCCTATGGTCTCCTCTCTTGTGGTTTGTCGTTTGTAGAAGACGTGCCCCATCTGCCAGATGCTGCTGCCCAACCAGTGCAGCTTCGCCTCGCACCAGCGGATCCACCAGCACAAATCTCCCTACACGTGCCCCGAGTGCGGAGCCATCTGCAGGTCCGTCCACTTCCAGACCCACGTCACCAAGAACTGCCTGCACTACACCCGCAGAGTGGGCTTCCGGTCAGTACGGCCAGCGCTTCGGAAAATTAATTTACCGGTTGTCCTGAGGGTGGCTTGGGAGATTGACAGCTTGAGGGTGGCGTTAGGGTGCTGCTCCGTCCGGGCATCCGCTTTTGGAGATGATTCAGTCGCAGATTCGGGCCTGGAGGATTCAGGTGCATCGCCTTAATTGGCGTTTTTGTAGATTATCGAATTCTGGGAGAACAGTGACTGTCAGTATTTACTGCCAGGGGGGTTGATGGTTCTCATTCCTGGGGCTCACCTCTTCATCATCAAGCAGAGAAGATCTTAACAGACCCCCACCCCAAAAAAAAAAGACCAGAACAATCTACTTGAGACTGGTAAATTGAGAGTAAACCTGATGGATGCTATTAAGAGTGTAAATTAAGGGCCCAGCAAAGAAAGGATGGGGCTTGGTAAAAGTCAGGGGTGATGAATTTGAAGGGGGAAATGGGATTTTGGAATGTTTTACTGCTATCATCAGGAGGCTAAACCCACCTGAAAATTGATTTGACGACAATCCTAATAATAATAAGAGGAGATAAAATTAAGATACCGGAAGGGCAGAGAGGGGCCTTCTGTGTTTAAATTGGAAAACTCTTATAATATATAAAATATATAATACACTGACCAAAATACTGATCAATCTGCAACTGGTTCGTTCAGCAGTGACTGCTGATCGCAGCTTGTTCTTTGGTGGCATTTACTGCTGCAGATGTAAATGTGTAAAAGCTTGATATTAATTGGCTTTTTTTTTTTTTTAATTGTTTCATTTTAGAATAGATGTGGGAAGCTCCCAAACACTCGACCCGGCAGAAGTAGGTTTTTTGCGAAGCGTTTCCCCCCACTTCCAATCAGCGACCTGTCGATGTGATTGAAGAGAGATTCAGTTTAATTTCCCCCCCGAGCTGATTCGATTCCAATCTGAACGAGGGGGGCCAAGATTTTCCTCCCTGGGTTTCCCTTCCGTGGTCATTCCCAAAACCAATCCCCACTTTGGGAAATCTGCAGGGGATTGAAGAATTCCTGCCTGCCCTCAATCAACAGATTATCCCCCTAAAAACAATCAACCCTTCTATTATGATAACACATAAAAAACCACGCCCTGACCTCTTATTATCTTTTGGGGTGAAATTTTCTCCCCCCCTTGCTTTGGGATCTGCGAATCAGCGGTGGTGTCGATCGGTCTGAGCGGACAGGAGGCCGTAAATTACGTGGGTACCCCCGACGGCGTGGCGGGTGCTGGTAGATTGACTCTCCCCGCTCTCTCCCCGCAGCTGCCTGCACTGCAACGTCGTCTACTCCGACGTGGCGGCCCTCAAGTCCCACATCCAAGGCTGTCACTGTGAGGTCTTCTACAAGTGTCCCATCTGCCCCATGGCCTTCAAATCGGCGCCCAGCACCCACTCCCACGCCTACACCCAGCACCCCGGCATCAAGATCGGCGAGCCAAAGTAAGCCACTTTCACCTGCCTGCCCGTCCTGGGCCGTCCTGCTGCTTTGGGGGGTTGGGGGGGTGTTGAGATGTTGAGATTTGAGCTGTCAATTTACTGGGTGAAAGTTGGGAAGAGAGAAATTACGAGAAATAATGACGCGGCTGATCGGCGCAAGTGGCCGGAGCCTCGCTCCTTGCCGATGCTTTAATCTCAGCTCATCTGCATTTGCGCTGGGAATTGAGATAATGCTGGTTGGAAAGTTGGGGAACGAGTGGATTTGCTCTCTTTTCTTTCTTGGAGCACAAGTGGTTCTGCTCTGCTTCGCTGCAGGTGGTAAATGATGCACCTTCGTTTTCATTCGGTCAGATACCACCAGCAGAAAGTTGTTTCGCGAAGATGAGGCGATCTGTGCTCTCATCTGCCAATCTGCTTGTGATCAGCCTCGGGATTTTAATTTCACTGACCCAGAGGGGGGTGTGTGTGTGTGGGGGGGACACTCTGCTGTTTACAGGAACTGCCACACTGCCATTTACCGGCAGCGGGGGAATCGCTAATCACATTACTGACCAGTTGTTTCGGAAACGGGGCTGGCTGGCTGCTCGTCTTTCCACCCTCTCTCCTGGAACTTTAATCTTCATCTCTTGGGGGAGCCCTGGATGGGTTGGAAAGGGTGTCGTCCCACCAGTTCCATCCTTCCCAAAAAAAATTCTGGGAAGGGGAGAAACAGCGCCCTGTGGGGTGGAAGTTTGCTGTGGGTGGTTATTCTGAGTTTTGGGGAGCGCTGGTGTAGCTGCAGGGCAGGGAGCAGGTGGCTTTAGGGAGTTACAAGATTTATATGAGTCAGAAATATGTCAGATTTTCTTGTAGCAGATTCACCAGAGACAGCAGCCCGTCAGAGGACGCTGCGTAAATAACGCATTTATGGCTGTAAATTGATTGTAAATAGTGCAAACGCGAGCGAGAATCCACCTCAGCGAGCATTTATCTGAGAGAGGCGCTGGGACCACTCGATACCCCCAAAATAATACCTTTTCCAGTTAATATTAAGCGGCCAAAACAACGACATTTACCCTGAAGTGTTTTCCTAGTTCTGATTGAATCGCTCCCTTCTTTGCAAGCTGAAACAGGGACACTGTCCTGTAGCTACACCAGGAGGCTGAACTGTCAGGCTCTCCCGAGAGCAGATGTTGGGGTTTATTATTATTTATATGTCCACTGCCACGTGCTGCTGTTTCCTGCCTGTTGTTTGCCCTCTGTAAATGATTTTTTAACCTATTTCCGCGCGGTTTGAGTGAGTTCAACCCTAACTTTCGTGCGGGCAGCGCGAATGAAACGTGTCAGCTCTTAACCACCCCCCCCCATGAAAAATCAAATTAATTAACATGCCCCAACGGATCCCTCCCCCCCCACTGACGCTGTTTATTGTACTTCTGTTTTTAGAATAATATATAAATGCTCTATGTGTGACACTGTGTTTACTCTGCAACCTTTGCTCTATCGCCACTTTGATCAGCACGTTGAGAACCAGAAGGTGTCTGTTTTCAAGTGTCCCGACTGTTCCCTTCTCTATGCCCAGAAACAGCTTATGATGGATCACATCAAGGTGTGTTCTCTCTTCTTTTTCCTTCCCCGATATTCCCATTTTTTTCAGGCATGGGGTTTATATTTCTGTTTTAGTGTTCCCTGCTGATGCCAGAAGTAAAGAGGACGTAAAACATTAATACCCCCCCCCCCCAAACTCTAGCGGTGTCTGATTGTTTTTTCCTGAGCTGCCGGTTGTTGTTTTAGTCCCCGAAATCTGTCAGTAGATTTGTCCTTCTGTCGCAGTCTATGCACGGCACTCTGAAAAGCGTGGAGGGGCCGCCGAACCTGGGGATCAATCTGCCTCTCAGCACCAAACCCCCCCCTCAGAACTCCACCGGTCACAGCAAGGAGGACCCCAAATCTGTCAATGGAATGGAGAGGCTGGAGAAACAATCTCCATCGCCCATCAAGAGAGCGGAGGCCAAGAAAGTGGCCAGCCCCGGCTGGACGTGTTGGGAGTGCGACAGGTTATTTACACAGAGGGATGTTTACATCTCCCACATGAGGAAAGAGCACGGCAAGGTAAAGAATACTGAATTATCATCATCATCATCATCATCATCATCTCACGGGTTTCTCTGTAGCTGCTTAATTTTTTCGGTGGCCATTTCCTGCTGGAGAAAATCTCCGCCCTTGGAGGTTTGTTTGGGTGTGGGAGATGGATCTGATCAATCAGGGGATTCATTTCTAGCCTGGTTTTTTTAAGGAATGATCAGTGGGGGCTAAAGGGCTCTGAAATGATTCAAACTTTCAGCCAGAATCGAGTTTGCAGGACCAGAATGAAAGTTTGGAGAGCTGTAAATGCCTGGCTGATGGCAGGATGATGGCTCGTGCAGAGGTGTTCCTAGGAGAGGTTTATCCTCTCTGGCCTGATTCCTGAGTTTCCAGATTATTGGGAACTATCTACACAGACAGACAGAGAGATTCCCATTTTCTGTATCTTTGTGGGGGTTTCTAGGAAAGGGCAGATGTTTTGTAAGCAGGAACGAGCAGTTCCACTGCTTGTTGCACATCCTGCCGGAACTAAGTTTAATTAAGTCATCCCAAATCCGAGCTGGTCCCTAACTAATCTATTCCTCTTATGTTTTTTTTAATTTTTAAAGCAAATGAAGAAACACCCGTGCCGCCAGTGCGACAAATCCTTCAGCTCCTCCCACAGCTTGTGCCGCCACAACCGCATCAAGCACAAAGGCATCCGCAAGGTCTACACCTGCTCGTGAGTATCAGCTTTTTTTATCTGCTTGGAGAAGGGAGGGCAGAGCAGTTCAATTAAAGTGTGATGAGCTCTGAAACCCTGGCCCCGAGCGCAGGAAAGCCGCTGCTGCGGATGGAACAGCCGGGAATTTACAATCTCTTAAATGCGCAACCGGTCGTTTCATCTGTAAAAAAACCCACCTGTTTGTGTGTTTGTGTGTGTGCGTGCAGGCACTGCCCCGATTCGAGGCGTACCTTCACCAAGAGGCTGATGCTGGAGAAGCACATCCAGCTGATGCACGGCATCAAGGACCCCGACGTGAAGGAGATGGCCGAGGCTGCCGACGCGGAAGAGAGGGAGGTGAAGGAAGACACGAAGGTAATAATCTACAGATGAATTCCTTCGCTGGGAGTGATTTTTTTTGTGTGGGGGGGTATATTTCGGTGCCTTAAAGGTGGCATTTTCAGCAGTGGGTTTATCAGAGAATCTGCTGCTGTCTGCAAGTCACTGACAGTAATCAGAAGAGCTGCTCATTTATGGGATGCCCCACCGAGCACAAGCGCTGTGAGGAGAGGCTGAGGGAGAAGAGGAGGCTCAGGGGTGACCTCAGCACTCTCTACAACCCCCTGACAGGAGGTTGGAGCCAGGTGGGGGGTCGTGTCATCTCCCAGGCAATCAGCAGCAGGACAAGAAGGCAAAGCTTAAGCTGTGCCAGGGGAAGTTTAGGTTGGATATTGGGAAGAAGTTGTTTACAGAGAGAGGGATCAGGCATTGGAATGGCCTGCCCAGAGAGGTGGGGTGGATTCACCGTCCCTGGGGTGGATCAAGGGTTGGACTTGATGATTTTCCAACCTAGTTAATTCTATGATTCCATGATCAATTTACATCCCCTTTCCAGGTTCCCAGCCCCAAGCGGAAACTGGACGAGCCCCTCCTGGAGTTCCGGCCCCCGCGAGGCGCCATCACCCAGCCCTTAAAGAAGCTGAAGATCAACGTCTTCAAGGTGCACAAGTGCGCCGTGTGCGGCTTCACCACCGAGAACCTGCTGCAGTTCCACGAGCACATCCCCCGCCACAAATCCGACGGCTCGTCCTACCAGTGCCGCGAGTGCGGGCTGTGCTACACCTCCCACGTGTCCCTGTCCCGCCACCTCTTCATCGTGCACAAGCTGAAGGAGCCGCAGCCGGCGGCCAAGCAGAACGGGGCGGGCGAGGAGGAGGAGGAGGAGAACCGGCGGGACAACAAACCCGACGGCCAGGGCGGGGGAGCCGCCGGCGGCGGCGGCGGCGGAGGCGGCGGCGGCGCCGCCGGCGACCGGCGCTGCAAGGTGTGCGCCAAGACTTTCGAGACCGAGGCCGCCCTCAACACCCACATGAGGACGCACGGCATGGCCTTCATCAAGTCCAAGCGCATGAGCTCGGCCGACAAGTGAGAGGGGGAGGGGGCTGGGGAAATCCCAAGCACCGAGTGGATTCCGCGAGGAAAATTCGAGATGTAACAACCTGGCGAGATATATCCCGCCCGTCGATAAACCCTGACCGTCGCGGCGCAGTATTTGGGTCGGCAAAGAGTTTGTACATATTTCAAACTGGGGAATTTTTGATACTCTTTGTTATGTGTTTGTACCGGTATCTAACGGGGGGGGGGAATTTGTTTGGGTCTTTATTTTTTTGGTTCTTTTCTGTTTCTGTTAATGCTGGGGCAGCTCTGCAGGTTCCCCTCTTAAGCTGTTTTGTTTTGTTTTGTTTTGTTTTGTTTTGTTTTGTTTTGTTTTGTTTCGTTTTGGTTTTTTGAGCTGATGGAAGCGCTTGCAGGGGAGGAGGGAAGGGAAGCAAAGCAAAGCGAGCTCCGATTTTTAAATTCTCAGAACTTTTTGCGCTTCCAAATATCTACGGAAGCTTTTAAAACTCTTCTCTTACCAAAATATATCTAGTAAAAAGAAGAAGTACCACTGCAGGTGTAAATCCCCCCAGAACGGGGTGCAGACCCCCCTAGAGTGGTAAAAAAAAATTAATTAATAAAACAAATTATACTTTTCCAAAAAGTATAATTGCACAACTCTATGACGCGTGATAAAGCGACATTTGGGGGTTTTTTTTAAGCTCATCAGGGGCTGGTGCTCAAAGCTCAGATCGTTCCAAACGGGTTTCCCCCCCCTCAGCCGGTAAATTCGAGGCGTGGGTTTCTGGTGGCGACGATGCCCCTTTTTCTTACCACGTAATTTATTAAGCGCTGCGTCGCGCGTCCTCTCTCTCCTCTCCGCTTCCCACCAGCTGGGTGGGGGGTTTGCTGATGATGCCAAACGTTGTGGTGCTCGGTGTGCTGACTGTGAAGGAGCCAAGGCCCGGCTGGGAGCGTGTGACAGGTGTGGGGGGGGGTTTGAGCTCCACCACAAAGAGCCATTTACCGCCCGCCTGGTGCCATTTACCGCCCGCCTGGCGCCCCTGGTTTCGCTTGCACAAATGTCTCCCCCACCCCCCCCCCCAAAAAAAAAACAAACCCCCAAAAGGTACCATCCTGTCCCTTTTCTGATCGAG